AGACACTGCAGAAAGTGTGTCCCAAGGGGGGCCCCCCGCTGCGCAAGCCACACTTTAGATTGCAGGATTTCAATAAGAATCCAGTGGCTGTGCGGGGCTGGGGCAAGTTCATGGTGGAGTTCCAGGATTTCAAGGTGCTTGGACATACTGGTGGTGGGCGGGAGGCTTTCCAACCTCCTTGGGATGTCCTGGTTTAAGCCACTGGGCTTGACCATCGGGGGGCTCCACCAGCTGCAGCGGGTAGACTTCATGGACATTTGCAATGAGTTCCCGCAGGTTTTCGACGGGTCCCTCGGCCGGTTCACGGGACCACCCATTCCTTGGACCTGGACCCTGCAGTCCGCCCCATCCGGATCAAGGCCCGGCACCCACCCCTCACAATGCGGCCAAAGATCGAGGCGGAACTGGACTGGCTAGTGGCCCAAGGTGTGCTGGAGCCAGTAGCATCCACCCGATGGGAAACCCCAATAGTCACCCCGGTGAAGCCAAACGGGGACATCAGGATCTGTGCGGACTATAAGTGCACCCTGAACAAGGCGCTGCAGGACCATGCGTACCCAGTACCATTGGTCAGCCAGTGGCAGCGCTGGCAGGGGCCTGCATATTCGGGAGAACTGGACTTGGCCCAAGCCTACCAGCAGTTGGACGCCGCCACGGCGGAAGCCCAGACGATTGCCACCCACAAGGGGGCTTTCAAGGTCAACAGGCTACAGTTCGGGGTTTCAGTGGCACCGGGGATTTTCCAATCATTTATGGATTCTCTCCTTAAAGGTATTCCAGGGGTTCAGCCGTTTTTAGACGACGTGCTCATCGCCGCCCCCGACGCCCCGTCCTTCGCCGACCGCCTCAGGACAGTGCTCCAATGTTTCGACCAGGCCCGGCTGAAGGTGAAGCGAGAAAAATGCCTCCTTGGGGTCCCCAAGGTGGAGTTCCTGGGGTTCGCGGTGGACGCCCAGGGAATCCACCCCACGGCGGAAAAGACGGCGGCGATTTCGAAGGCCTCGGCTCCAACGGCGAAACCGGAACTGCAGGCCTTCTTGGGCCTATTAAATTTTTATCACTCTTTTCTTCCCCTCAAAGCTGCTGTCGCGGAACCCCTCCATCGGCTTCTGGACAAGGGTGCTCCATGGGTTTGGGGTCCGGCTCAGGCTGCGGCATTCCAAGCAGTCAAGGACCTCCTCATCTCTAACTCGGTCCTGGCCCACTTCAATGAGGATCTGCCGGTGGTACTGGCCTGTGACGCCTCTCCTTATTGGGTCGGGGCAGTCCTGGGGCACAAGCTGCCGGACGGGCGGGAGGTCCCGGTGGCCTACTACTCCCGTACCTTGTCGGCAGCCGAGCACAATTACGCGCAAATAGATAAGGAGGCGCTTGCGATAGTGGCCGGAGTGAAAAAATTTCCTGTTTTCTCCCCAATAAGGACCCAAAGTGGCATTACCACCTCCATTTTATCTTTTTAACAACATTGTGAGGTAGATTAACCTGAGAGAGACTGATCCAAGATTGCCCAGCACGTTTCTGTGGCAGTGTGGGGTTTTGAACCTGGGTCTTCCAGATCCTAGGCCAACAGTCAAGCCACTACACCACAATGGTTCTCACTTTTCACCCCAACAGATCACAGGGATCCAAAGCATCTTATAACACTGTTCTCCCCTCTTCTATTCTCATCCCCTCACAACAACAACCCTGTGAGATAGTAGAAAAGAGCAACAGTCCAGGAACACCTTAAAGACTAACAAAATTTGTGGCAGGGGACAAACTTTCATGAGTCACTGCTCACTTCTGTCTATCTAAGAAAGTGAGCAGTGACTCATGAAAACTCATCCCCTGTCACAAATTTTGTTAGTCTTTAAGGTGTCACTGGACTTTTGCTCTTTTCTACTGCTACAGACAGAGTAACATGGCTACCCACCTGAACCTGTGAGATCGGTTCGGCTGACAGAGAGTGGCCCATGGTAACCCAGCAAGCTTGCACCGGCAGAGTGGGGATCTGAACTTGGCTCTTCCAGATCCTTGTCTGACATGCAGAAATCAAAAGGAGGGAAAAGTGGGACAGCCCTGTCTACATGCAGATTAAACCTTTGGGATAAGCCATAGCTGAGCACGCACTTTTCACGCTGATGCAGTGAATCCCAGGATTAGGTAAGTATTCAATAGTGGTTTAAGCCTAAAACTAAGTTTATATACTCTATCTTCCATGGAAGGAATTTTGAAACCCTTAAAGCGATCCTAATGAAAAGCAGTTTTTCATGAACATTCACAGGACTGGTTTATAACGAGCCACCTTGAGTTCCTTGCAGGAAGGGCGCCATAAAATATATCACAGGCGGATAAGCGCACAAAGATTTGGACCAAAGTCAATGCCTTTTAGGGTTGCCAACCCCCCCGGTTTGCCAGGGGTCCCCCATTTTTTGGGGGGGTCTACCCGCAGCTGGCCAGATGGCCAGCGGGGAAGCCCCGCCCCCAACACCCATAGCCATCCATCTCTCTCCCTTTAAGTGTGTGGAACCCGTGTTTCCTCCCAAGCCGGATCTCCGCAACCTTGCAGGGAAATGCCAGCTTCGTGCTCTTAAAAGGGAAACGCGTCTGCTCTTAAAGGGGAAACGCTGGCTCCTGCATTTAAAAGGGAAACGCTGGCTCCTTTAAGTGCAGGGAACTGCCGTTTCTGGAGATCTGGCACACGGGCAGGTAGGGGGGGCAGACATCCCCAACACGACATCATCACGTCGGGGATGCCCCACCCCTCCAGTAACGTCCCCAAAATCCCCCGCTGGGGGTGGAAGATGGACTTGGCAACCCTAATGCCTTTTCACCTTAAACACTACCTGCTGTATCATGCTACTAGTCTCAGCAGAGAGACTTCTCTCATTATATCAAGTTGATTGGGACATTTGCAACAGTGCAAATCCTGAGTCACTGGAGTTAGTTCGGAAGATGGACTTGGCAACCCTAATGCCTTTTCACCTTAAACACTACCTGCTGTATCATGCTACTAGTCTCAGCAGAGAGACTTCTCTCATTATATCAAGTTGATTGGGACATTTGCAACAGTGCAAATCCTGAGTCACTGGAGTTAGTTCGTAAAACTTTCTTCAAATACATTAGAAGCAGGAAACCAACCAGGGAGGCAGTGGGGCCCTTGGATGACCAAGGGGCAAAAGGAGTACTGAAGGATGATAGGGAAATGGCTGAGAAGCTAAATGCATTTTTTGCCTCTGTCTTCACTGCGGAAGATTAGAAGTTCTTGCCCACTCCAGAACCGCTGATTTCAGGAGGGGTGTTGAAAGACCAGAGTCAGATTGAGGTGACGAGAGAGGAGGTCCTACAACTGATAGACAACTCAAAAACTGATAAATCACCAGGCCTGGATGGCATACATCCGAGAGTTCTGAAAGAACTCAAATGTGAAATTGTGGATCTCCTGACAAAAATATGTAATCTTTCCTTAAAATCTGCCTCTATTCCTGAGGACTGGAAAGTAGCTAATGTCACTCCCATCTTTAAAAAGAGTTCCAGAGGAGATCCGGCAAATTACAGGCCAGTCAGTCTGATGTCGATATCAGGTAAATTGGTAGAAACTGTTATTAAGGAAAGAATTAGTAGGCACATTGATGAACAAAAACTATTGAGGCAGACTCAGTATGGGTTCTGTAAGGGAAGATCTTGTCTCACTAACCTGTTAGTGTTCTTTGAGGGGGTGAACAAACATGTGGACAAGGGGGACCCAACAGATGTTGTTTACCTTGCCTTCCAGAAAGCTTTTGATAAAGTTCCTCATCAAAGGCTCCTAAGTAAGCTCAAAAACTGGCTAATTAATAGGAAACAGAGAGTGAGTATAAATGGGAAATTTTCTCAGTGGAGGGTGGTAAGCAGTGTGGTACCACAGGGATCAGTACTCAGTCCAATGTTTTTTAACTTGTTTATTAATGATTTGGAGTTGGGAGTAAGCAGTGAAGTGGCTAAATTTGCGGATGAAACTGGCAGAGACTGACCAAGAGAGAGATCTTGGAGTCATAATAGATAACTCAATGAAAATGTCTAGACAGTGTGCAACTGCAATAAAAAAGGCCAGTGCTATGCTTGGGATTATTAGGAAGGGAACTGAAAACAAATCAGCCAGTATCTTAATGCCCCTGTATAAATCGATGGTGGATCCTCATTTGGAGTACTGTGTACAGTTCTGGTCACCACATCTCCAAACAGATATTATTGCATTGGGAAAAGTGCAGAAAAGGGCAACAAGAATTATAAAAGGGTTGGAACACTTTCCCTATGAAGAAAGGTTAAGGCTTTTGGGGCTCTTTAGTTTGGAGAAACGAAGGCTGACATGATCATGGTTTATAAGATTATGCATGGGATAGAGCAGGTCGAGAAAGAAGTCCTTTTCTCCCTTTCTCACAATACAAGAACTCGTGGGCACTCCATAAAATTGTTGAGCAGTAGGGTTAGAACAGATAAAAGGAAGTACTTCTTCACCCAAAGAGTGATTGATTAATTCACTGCCACAGGAAGTTGCGGCGGCTACAAGCATGGACAGCTTAGAGAGAGAATTAGATAAGCATATGGAGCAGAGGTCCATTGGTGGCTATTAGCCACAAGGTATAGATAGGGACTCTGGGGCAAGTGATGCTCTGTATTCTTGGTGCGGGGGGGGGGGGGTTTTTTGGGGGGGGGGGGGGGGGGGGTAAACAGCGTGAGGGCTCCTAGTGTCCTGGCCCCACTGCTGGACCTCCTGACGGCATCTGGTATTTTTGGCCAGTGTGTGACAGAGTGTTGGACTGGACAGGCCATTGGCCTGATCCAACATTGGCTTCTCTTATGCTCTTATGTAGTGCGATTACACCCGACTTCCGCGAATGTAAGGCTTCGTAGTGTGGACTCACAAGCCCCGCCCATTATCCCTCCCTCCCAGGAGCCAAGCCCCGCCCCTTGGCGTCACTAGCTCTGACAGGGCGAGAGTCGTTCGATAAGGTGGCCTCAAGAAGCGGAGGAGGGTCACGTGACGGTTCCAATATGGCGGCGCCGTGTCGCTGTCCACTCCCTCTGAGGGAGTCGCGTCTCTTCCGGATCATGGAACCCGGCTGCGGCCGGAGTCTTTGAGTGCCGTTTCCCGCCCTTCGGCGAAGGACCGGCACGGGGGTCGACGGCTCGTCACGGCCATGCAGGAGCAGCAGCCGCCTCCGCCGCCCTCCGCCCGCGAGCAGGACACTCGTACCAAAAGCATGTTCGTGTCGCGGGCCCTGGAGAAGATCCTCTCCGAGAAGGAGGCGAAGCGGCCCCCTCACGGGCAGCTACGAAGAGCCTGCCAAGTGGCACTGGGTGAGTGCGAGGACGGAGCCCCTCACCCCGCCAGCGCGTACTCGGCCAAGACCCCCCCGCCCGGCAGGGAGCCCGTCAAATGTCACTGACCACCCACGGTCGCCTGCGACCCCAGCCTTTCCTTGCAGCACCTGGCCCGAAACCATCCTTCACCAGTGCCTGGCGCGAGGCTGCTGAGGCGGACCTGCCAACGGTCACTCGCGTTTACACCCGCGGTTAGGCGTCTTTATCCAGGAGGGGTTTCCGTGGGACTGACTCCCATAGGAAAGCGAGGGCAACCCTTGCGCAAGCAGGTGAGGGGACCAGCTCGGTGTCCCCTAAAAACTCGGAACCGAACCCGCATTTTGTCTCCTGAAGAAAGAACCTGTTCTTGCTGACCTATCTTCACTTTAATAGGGGTTTGTTTTACGCCTCCAATTAAATAAAACAAGAGTAACAGAATTATTCTCAGCATAACCCAGTTGATTAACCTACAGTGGGATTTGACCGCCGCCCTCCGCCCGCGAGCAGGACACTCGTACCAAAAGCATGTTCGTGTCGCGGGCCCTGGAGAAGATCCTCTCCGAGAAGGAGGCGAAGCGGCCCCCTCACGGGCAGCTACGAAGAGCCTGCCAAGTGGCACTGGGTGAGTGCGAGGACGGAGCCCCTCACCCCGCCAGCGCGTACTCGGCCAAGACCCCCCCGCCCGGCAGGGAGCCCGTCAAATGTCACTGACCACCCACGGTCGCCTGCGACCCCAGCCTTTCCTTGCAGCACCTGGCCCGAAACCATCCTTCACCAGTGCCTGGCGCGAGGCTGCTGAGGCGGACCTGCCAACGGTCACTCGCGTTTACCCCCGCGGTTAGGGGTCTTTATTCAGCAGGGGTTTCCGTGGGACTGACTCCCACAGGAAAGCGAGGGCAACCCTTGCGCAAGCAGGCGAGGGGACCAGCTCGGTGTCCCCTAAAAACTCGGAACCGAACCCGCATTTTGTCTCCTGGAGAAAGAACCTGTTCTTGCTGACCTGTCTTCACTTTAATAGGGGTTTGTTTTATGCCTCCAATTAAATAATACAAGTAGTAACAGAATTAACAGAATTATTCTCAGCATAACGCAGTTGATTAACCTACAGTGGGATTTGACAGAGGGTACTGGTCTAGTTTCAATGTGATCCTAGGCATGTTTGTTCAAAGAACAAGTTCTGCTGAGTCCAGTTCCAAATGTTAACTGTAGGATCTCTGACCAGAGCTGTGTAATCCAACAGAATTGAATGTAGGACCCCAAAACCACATTTTACAGCTTAGGATTCATAAATCTTTTCCTCTGTCCTCATTTGATGGGGTGATCCTGTGTATTGTGCTCTTAATGTCTTACAGGCCACATGCTCTTAAAGTTTCATCATCCCATGAACCATTCCTATTTTCAATAGGCTAGTGTGGGGACCTAGGTGCTTGGAGGAGCCCTGTTAAGCCCCCTGGCCATTTTCTGGTATTCATGTACTTTCCCCAGCTTTCTCAACTGCCATAGGAGCATGTTCCAACTGGCATGTGTTAATAAACAGCTGCATGTACTTAGTGATTGTAGTTGTCATCGGTTACTGCTTGGCAGATTTGTCTGCCACGTTGGATCCTCCCCTGCTTATGAACAGGTGACCTAACTCCCTGTCTTCTGACAGGAAGTGTCTGATAGATTCTCTGGTCAGGTTTGGTTGTGGAGAGAAACAGTAAGGGTTCCTCCCCCTTCCCGAAAGAAAGCACAAGGTTCATTTTGCTTATCTGATAGTAGCAGGCAGTACTAACTGATGGTTTGGAGCTGGGGCAGACCTCTTTACTTAGCAAGTGATAAAGCATGGTTGGGCTGTCTCTATGTGAAACATTTTTCTGTAACTGAAAACTGTGCTGTCTGTAATGTTTTGATGAATATAGTTGTGTTTTCTGGAATCATTTGTGGCAAACCATTTCATACATTTGTTATAAAAATTATCACTACCTTATCACTAGAATTCTGAAAGGTAGTTTTTTTAAAGGATTAGTAGAATGAAAGAAATTAGAGCAGTATTTCTTGGCATTAGCTTTTGGATGTGACCATTAAGAAACTGCCACCCACACTGTCACCAGAGTCTTTATTCATTTATCATGGCTCTACATTTTTTTCTTATATAGGAATGAAATGAAGATTTACAAATTTTCCAGTTAAAGTGCATTAAATGCCTTTTCTAAGCATTGAAAACTGAGGTTTTATCATTATCTTTTGGGAAATGTTTTGTTTAAGGTAGGCCATCTATTTAAATAATGCTGTTAACAAGTTTTTTACCCAGCTAATTTAGACATTTGAGATGTGTTTTAAAGTGCCAGCTCAGCTATGAACATATTTCTGGTCTTTGGCATGTCACTGTTAAGTTTCCCATCTGTTCAAGATCCCTGTCTGTAGAATGGGAATTATTATGGCCTGAACCAAATATATTTTGTGAGGATAAAGAGATTATTGTAAAGAACTCCACATGCTGAACAATACAGCCCTTAAACCATTCTCGTTTTATCATATGAAGAAATTGTTATTGGCACTCCAGTTGTATGTTGGTAGTATTTGTACAGGACATCCAGTGCTATATTAATCATCATCATCATCAGGAGGTGATGGACAGAAAAGGAGGACAGCATCTGCTTGCATGTTGTATCATGAATGAGGGCTTGGGGTGGGGCATCTGCCTTGTATGCAGAAGGTCCCATGTTCAATTCTTGGCATCTCTAATTAAAAGGGCCAGGTAGTAGCAAATAGGAAAGACCTGTACCTGTAACTCAGCTACTGCCAGTCAGAATAGATAGCGCTGGCCTAGATAGACCAGTGGTCTGACTCTGTAAGAGGCAGCCTTATGTGTTCATGTGTCTTGAATAGTGGAGAGAGAAAGAAGGGATGCCAGCTGGAGATAGAATGCATGTGTCAGTGCAGAGTACTTCTGTTGTTTACCAGAGCATCCATAGGGGTCCTTTCTAATGAGTATCTCCTGCCACATGGAGGTTGTCACTGAGACAATATACAGGCCAGAAAACAAGAGCTAGGAGTGTTTAGTAATGGTTTAATCTGAAAGTAATAAATTGAAGTAAAACATGGAATCATCTTCATGAAGAGGTGACATTTGGTAATTAACAGAAGAGGCATTATGACAGCTAATGTAATAGCAAGGAACATTCTAAGATGGTAGCAAGACACTTAAGTTGTATACAGTGCAGCAAGAGAAGCTGGGGAAGAAACAGCTGTGCATTTTGAAAGCATGTGTGTAAGAGAAGCAATTTTTTAACATGGTCTAACTGGTCTCTTAATTGTTCAAGCCTATGGGATTGATCACATTTGCTGTAAAAATGTATAAGCCTATGGGATTGATCACATTTGCTGTGTGATAAGTAAAAATGTGTCTTAAAGGTTTATTTGGATGGTCGCAAGTTGTGACTTTGGACTTCTTGTGCAGCAGTGAAGAAGTGGATGGCTATGGGTGACAGGAGGTTGTTGTACAAAGTTGATCTTACAATGTCCTAAGATGCTTTTGCAAATCCAATTTGGGATTCAGTCTAACTAGCCAGCATCACTTTGTATGGGACTGAAAGGAAGCAGTTTGTGTGGTGTGGTAGCCACCAAGGTAGTTGTGGACAGAAAGATGCTGGAGAACCTAAACAGATATTTGTTGGTGTGTGTATATATAGTAAATAGTATATGAACTATTTATGGAGAAAGAAATGTCAGAGCACTTACTTATGGGACAGAAATTGCTAATCACACTCCACGTGTGTGCTGCTTTCTTGCCTAGAGCAACCTTATTTTCTTTCCCTGTATCAAACGAACTCTATCTTTTATATCTCTTCTCAAAACAACCAATTTTAGAAGGCCCTTCATGGACCCGTGTGTGTGTGTGTGTGTGTGAAAAGTGCCATCAAATTGCAGATGACTTATGATGACCCCAACAAGAGGCTTGCTAAGGCAAGTGAGAAGCGGAGGTGGTTTTCCATTGCTTTCCTCTACAGAGTCTTCCTTGGTGGTCTTGCTTCCGAGTACCAACCCCACTTAGCTTCCAAGATCTGATGAGATCAGGCTATACCATGCCTCCTTCCCGCCCCCTATGGACTATTGTAGCCTTATATTTATCTCATTTTTACTGCCATTCAGCCTTCCTGCGCCACATACATAACTTGCCTTGCTTATCCTCTCTGTTAATTTTCTCATCCCTATTTTTTAAATTAAAAACATTTTGCACAGTGCTGATCACACTGCTGGTTGGAATTGTTCAGTACGGTATGTGTGTATGCTTAGGCACACAGTTGCACACTAAAACTTTCTGAATACTCCCAGTTTCTTTGAGATCCAGGTTCCACAATTTGATTGTAGCCAATTTACTTTGGGCCACTGAACTTAACGAGAGTAGATGAGAATCAGTGAAGCCTCTCAGTTCCATTATTGATCATGCTGTACTGTAATGAAGAGAAAGAACCCCCAAATGAGCAAATTTATAGATATATAATCACATTATTAGATATTAAGCTTTGTTTAATGAGACTTTAATTACTTTCCTAGTCTGTAAAGTGAGAGAGTACAATAAGTTTATTAATGACCTGTGTTGATTTCATTGAAAAACAGATTGTATGCTGATTTTAGGTTGGTGTCTTAACACAACCAGAACAGCAAGACTGGATACTTGCATTCAGTAAATAATTTCTATTGGTAATTAAGATGCTTGTTACAAGGCTTTTTATGTCAGCAGTATTAAATGTCATGCTACATGTAGTCTTGATGCTCAAGAACATTATTCACTGTCTTCCCTTTTATGTAAAACTAGCCTTACTTGAAGGCCATTTACTGTGCAATCCAGTGCACACTCCAGTCTTAGCCTATTGATTTCATTGGTTTTAGAGCAGAGTAACTCTGCATAGGATTTCATTGTTAATCTTCCAGTAAAGACTAAAATTTTTAATTTCGTCTTTGCTTTAAAAATTGTACATATAAGCCCCTGACCTGGACCACCCAGGCGAGCTTGATCTCGTCAGATTTCAGAAGCTAAGCAGGGCCAACCCTGGCAAGTATTTGGATGGGAGACCTCCAGGGAATACCAGGGCTGGGAATTGCCAGAGGCAAGCAATCAAGCCACTTCTCTGAATGTCCTCTGTGCCCAGTAGGAGTCACCAGAGGTCGCCATAACTTCCAGGCACCAACACACACACACACGTACACACACGCAAAAATATGGGAAATTTGTTTTACATGTACATAGATACTTTATGATAGAAACATTTCTTTAAAATATAGAAAGCAAAATATTTTTAATCTTGATCACATACAGCAGGTACCTTTTCTTTTACATGCCATTTCTTTTGTAGTTCTATAAAGTGAAATAAAGTAGAAATATTATTTTGTTAAGACTGTGCCGTAGTGTTGGTATATAGAAATTATAAGTGCAATGGGTTTCTCAAATAACAATATACATATGTAGCTTCTTAGTAGATATTGGAGGTTGCCTGCAAAAATTTGCTCTGTGATCTTGTAGTTCTGGCCTAGATTCTTTGTACAATTATACTTTTTACAAAATTGTTTGCCCCATATGCTGCTATTTTGATGCCTTTTTGTTATCCTCCGTGGCAAATGATTTCAGATTATGGGTTTAATGCATTATTTAGAGCTGAGACTGCAAAAGTGATCTTATCTGCAGTTCTCCAGATACAGGGAAGAAGGAAGAGTGTGTAGAATCTTGCTGGAGTCTGCTGCCATGTTATCTCTAACAATCTCCTGCCATTAAATATGGTAGCTTGGAATCCATTCATCCCTATGTGAAGGAATATTTTTGGTATGCTTAAAGACTTGATTGTTCCCACTGAAGTTTGTTGTTGTTTTGAACAGAAGATCCCCTAAGATGTGTCACAGACTACTTAAAAGAAAGTGTCCTAAGTTTCATAGGCAGTGTACCACTTGGAATGGGGAGGGGATGCAGGAGGGCTATTGTTCAGTAAATAAAAGCTCAAAGATACCATGTTTGCATGGAATGAGTTGTGTTTCTGTCTTCGTTGGCTGTTGTGAATGCTTGTGCAGATTAGAATGTATAATCTTCATGGCTTCCAGACAGTGAATTAAAAGATGCAAGGGAAATAGATGTATATGCCTAGAATGTTTAAATCTGAAGATAAAATGTTTGCTTTTTTCTTTCAGAAGTGGCCAGTTGCTTCAGACTGAATGTCTGCTTCTTAGTGAAAACAAAGGAGTCCATTCCTTATATGGGAGATGTTATACTAATTGCAAAGAACTTGCTCTGGGATGCCTCTCCTTCTGCCAATCAGTGGTTGCCACTTAAACATTAATTACCTGGAAAAACAGTTTTTATGTCCTATCACCCACTGAACTCTATATGTTTGTTGGCATTTAACAGCTAACAAGGCCTATTATCCTGACCCATTAGTTGTTTGCTTTTAGCAGACTACCTCAGTCTGCGGACCCATGCTACTGTTTTCTTATTGTACTCTAGCTCTTTCACAGAAATTTTAATTCAGATCTACTACTTTTAAAAAGTCTAATTATAACATAGTTTAGGAGATTGTTGAATAACAATTCTAAGCAGCCACATTAAAGTTTTAAAGCAGATTGGCTCTAAGTACCTCTTTCTGCTGAAGAAGGATTTGATTTTTAACTTATAATGATGTAACAAGAAGCAGGAGCTGAGCAGAGAGTCCTGTGCTGTACATAGAAAGCAGGTTACAGAGAACTGGTTGTTCCCACATTTTCTTGCTTCCCCATTTTTTGCTCACAAAAGCCAGTTCCTCCCTCCCACATGCACACACACTTTTCAGGACAGATCTCGGCAAAGGGAAGCCATCATAAACATTTATGTTCTTACCTTCCCATTGCACAGTGTTTGACTGTCATATTTTTATCTGTCCTTCTTCCAAGGATCTCCCTGTGGCACAGAGGGTTCTCCAGTGCTTCATTTTCAAGTGCCCCCCCCAACCATCCTCTGAAGTAGGTTAGACTGAAGAAAGTGCCTGGCTCAAGCTCTTCTTCATTGCCTAATCAGGTTTTGAACTTGGATTTCCCAGGTCCTAGCTGTCTCACACTGTTCTGCATGGAATGGGAAGCTTTGCTTTCATTAAAAAGCAGTCATTAACTCAAGTGCAACTGGCTGGTTAGCAGCTAAGCTTTCCTGCAGCCTGGATCTTGCTGGATAATGTCTGTGGTTCTCATGATTCTCCCTCTGCTGATCTAGCGCCCTGACTGATGGACTAGCATGACAACATGGACCTGTTCTTCAGGACCTGTCCCTTGCAGTAGAGATTATGGTATAATTCACAAAGAGTAGGGTCAGATTGCCCTAGCCATAATTTCCTTGTGCAACTAGATGGAGAATACTGGTGATGTGCAGTAGTCCTGGGCTGTTGAAGCCAACATTAGCACAGAAAATCTTATGCAATACCTTCTCATTCTGTCTGATGCTTTTTTTCCAGAGAAGCCACAATGTGTTGGTTAAGCTATCCATTTGGCTTAGTCCTAGATTACATGCGACTTTGTTATCTCTTTAAAAGTAGCCTGTGTGGGTTGGTTTTGTACTGGACATTTCTTATGTACAGGTGATGTCATTTCCCAGAGGGTGTAAAATGCAACATGGCAAATATGGCTAAAGCAATTTGTGTCCAATGAACTGCCATAGAAAATATGTGGATTTCCTTTGCATTCTTCTCTTTCCTTGCAATCTCTTGATTCCCACAAGGATTATTCCAGAAGTTGTGTGGCCCATGTGAATTAGTGGCCATGTCAGGGAAGGGGGATGTAGTAAGGATGGAGAAGTTGAATTTGCTCCTTCCTTTCTCTGTCTTCCATCAATAAAGTTCCCCTGCCTTGATCAAATGGTGCTGTCCGAGGCTGCATTTCATTAAAAACATAAATACTGAGAGATCCCTATAGAGTAGTTCAGCCCTTATAATAGGAGAGAGAAATTTCTTGCCCTTTAAAGGTAGAGAAACAAAGTTTCTGTGGTACATGTGCAATATGTAGTCTGTAGCAAAAGGATTTCTGGCCACTTTTGAGGTAGCAAGTTTGGTCAGCCACAACACCTGCTGTGCTGTTCAAACAGAAAATTAAAGGGTTTCCAGATAATTGAAGCAGTATTGAATATGTGATCTCCTACACAGATAGCTCCAGAACAGATTCTACTAGAGTATTGTGCATGATTCATTGCAGTCCAGTGCTTAAATTGTTTAATTCAAGTGACAACAGTTGGAACAGGGCTTCTAGTTTCTGAATCATACTGTTGTCCTGCTGTTTCAGTGAAAAATCTCTTAGCAAGTGGATTACTTAATAAAATGTGCCCGATTGCATAAAAGGGTACATATCATTTGAAAACAGGTATTACAAGTGTAGGCCCATGATACTCGCAGCAGGGGATTCACTCACCACCACCCCCTTTCTTGCCAGACCTGTGCCCTGCACAACTCCCAGACCTGTGCCTTTGCCGCCTGTGAGCCTGGCGTGACTCCCGGGCTGCTCTGCCAGCATGGTCCCAGCCTGCAGTGGCAGCATGTCCAGAGTGCCCCAAGTTTGCAGAAAAACCTCTTTAGCCTCCATGTGGCCCTGATCCGCAGATTTAGCTCTCTACGGATGGGAGCCACATGTGGCTAATAGTATACAGGTACTTGTTAAAAAAAACCCCAACCCTCAATAATCCATGAGAATGAGGAAGACCCTTTTCTAAAATTGCAGCAATCTTGTTCCAAGACATTTATTTTCTTAAATGGAAACAGTGGGGAAATGCATGCGTTGTTACTCTAACTTTTTGCCATTGTCCAATACAGAGGTCATGTGGAGTATGGGAATGTAGGAACTGTAGATAAATGGTGAACAGCAATTTACTGTCAGTTTACTATTAAAGTATTTGACATTATAAATGCTTTGAGATTTATATGTGTTTACATTGTTGCACTTCTTTCTAATGCTGTTTCAATAGGCTAGGATTTAAAACTACCAGTACCTGATTTCCAGGTTTATACCCAAGCACAGGTATGGCAGGCTTCCTAAGTCCATATGATTTTTATTATTGTTTCATATACTTTTTAGGGATTGGTTCATTCTGTATAGGTTGATTGTTATAGTACCCAGGAAGGATTATTTCTCCTATAAAAGTTTGTTTCTTGTTCCTTCCTGGCTATAACATTGTGACCTGTGTATTAGTAAATTGGGCAGTTTGGACGGCATGGTGTTTCTTTCCCTGGATTTACAACACCCATAGGGTGAACAAAGTAATCTTATAGGCTCATTCCTACTCAAGGGCTACCAGTTGGTTATTCCTGTTGAAGACATGCAAGTGTTTAGAGAATCTTGTATGGTGTAATAAGAAATTTGTCATGCTAAATTGTGGATTAGCTATTGAGAGATATTAATGACTGGCTTCATGAGAAGTGTTGCCGTCAGCAGAATTTTCAAGCAGCTGTTTATTGGGCATAATAATCTATTGCTTATTATTCTGTATTTGTAAAAGAATTATTTAAAAGGCATCTGGAAAAATGAATCTCCTATCCAAATACTGCTATTCAATGTGCCTTTTGCTCTGTCTGTGTAGTATATATGCTGGTGTCTTTTGCATCTGTGCTAAAAGTTACTAAGTTTTTTCTAGTATCAGCAGTTAGTTAATGGTGTGAATCTGCAACATAAACAATTCTGTGCTTTTTGTTTTTTTCTTTTACCAGATGAAATAAAAGCAGAACTCGAAAAGCAAAGGTGAGTATGTGCTGTAATTTGGAGGCTGAGAATCAAAGACCAAGACTAATGTGAAAATGTAAGCATGGCTTCTAGGTACCAACATGCTTGGCACTATGCATGCAAAGGCATGTCCAGACTGCATTGACTTCAGGCGACTTTCTAAAACCTAATATATCAATGATACACAAATAATGCACTATCAGGGGTATGTTTTCTTCTGTGTGCTACAGAAGTATCTGAATACATGTTTCAGGCTTTCTTGTGTGTGTGGTGCTGAGCAATGACTTCAGCAAGACAGTTTGGGATGTGGTAAGTGCACATCCAGAGGTGTCTCCAGTGGAGGTAGTTGCATCTTATGGAAGATTATGGAGAACATGTACAGGTTTGAGCAATTCTTGCAGTTGCAAGTGGTCAAGATAAAACTACCACTGTATTTCGGTTACAAGAAACGGCTTCCCATACATCCTAAAGATGTCGTTTTTACCACTTCCCTTTCTTTCAACTAGATTTCCCCCCAGCATTTTTGATGACATGCCCATTATTTTCTAGCAGAAAATCTTAGTTTCCTTTCTTTCTTTGTAACCCTTTCTTATATTGGCCACAAAACATGTATTTAATTGGTTCGATCAGATACCAGTCTACAGTTGTATTTAATTAATCGTGTTGGCTGTTGATGTTTGGCTTTCTCTCTAATGTTATCAGCTTCTTAAATTAGTTCTATTGTGGTTTCCTGTTTCTTTAGTGGATACTGTGCCTGATACAGAAGTTAATGATGTTTTAGGAAGGGTCTTAATAAGAGTCTTTTGTAACACTGAAGAAGCCCAGACAAAAACTGTATTGATCACTTTTCACATTGGACTTATTTGAAATTTGGTGTTTGCGCTTTCCCATTTCCCTTCCTTGCCTGTCTACAACTGTCTGAAAATGTGGAGGCATGGCTCTGCCTCCATAAAAGCTGCAGGCGTTACTAAATTGCTTGATTTGGAGGTAGCTTGACATTTGATTACCTTTATTTTCACAAATCTTCCCCTGCCCCATTCTATGTTTGTAGGTAGGTATGTCTGTTAATGCTTCTCTTCTCATGCTTAAAAAGGATTTTGGACATGGTAGTGACCTGCAGGTGTATTCCCATGTTGCAGAGATGTAATATAGGGAGTTGCAGGATTCATATGAGATTTCCCCTCCTGAATTATCTTGGAGCTAACAATTACAAACATTTAGATTGATGATCTTTCACTTTAAGCCCAAGGGGAAGGAATAATGTTGCAAGTAAACCAATTCACATTTAAGGATTTCAACTCTGATAGAAATATCAGAATTGGGCATGAAAGGAAAATTTTGATATGCCTTCTTGAGAACCATTCAGTTAACCACACTTTGTGGTCCTAACAACCGTGCATGCAAGAAGGAGTTTCTCCATAGACTTTTCTCAACCAGCAGATACACTCAGGGTGCAGCTAAGCCGATTGCACAATGGAGCCTGGCAGTGAGCGGCAGTTGTGCAGAGAGTATGGAGGGAGCCCCTGCATGTGTGTCTGCTGCTTTTGAACAAACATGGACATCTGGGATTGTGGCCCTGGACTTCAGGTCTTCATTCGCCTGCTCACTAATTTATTCCCAAGCAGGTATGAAAGATCTGGTCTTTGAATTGTGAAGGATTGTCAGTAAAAAATCTGGTCTTTGAATTGTGAAGGATTGTCAGTAAAAGATGTGTACAGTCAGTTCTATGTAGTCTACAAATCTATTTTTGAACTGGTTATGTACATCTTGTTTCTAAGAATCAAGAATCTAAGAATTCTTTGCTCTAATTCCGTATTTTAAAATTGTACTGTTAAAAATGCTGTAATTTACCTGCTTTCTATGGCTGAGAAGTTAATTGGAAAATAGATGTCTATCAATTAATTAACATAGTGATTTTATTTCATTTTTTTTCTGATTAGCCAAGGCAGCGTAACCACACCAAAAGCAAACTTCATTGAAGCAGATAAATATTTTCTGCCATTTGAATTGGCTTGCCAGTCAAAGTCCCCTCGAATTGTCAGCACCTCCTTGGACTGCTTACAGGTATCCCATTTAAACTAAGATATCATCAAGCTTTGCTGCAATTTTATTTATTGTGATTTACATATATGTATCTATTGCTGGTCAGCAAATTATGAGACAAAAAAATCTGATTGCTTTTATTACTTTCCTTTCCCTCTCCCCACATTTCTGAAGTTTCTTGAGTCTTTATAGCCTTCTATCAGAATTTTTCCTTCCAGCTTTGCAAGCATTCTACCATTTTGCATATACAGTACTCTGGTTAATGAGCATTTCTGATGGGACTTTTATGTCATAAAGGTCTACGGGAGATCTTAGATGCTTCATCATCAGATTATACTTTAGATTTTTTTGTCAATTTTTCTATTAGTGGCTTAAATTCATTTTAACTCCCCCCCCCCGCCTGAAGGTATTAGAGAAGCTTTCCTGACATTTTGTATCCTTTAAGTGTTTAGTGCTTGAAAATGGTGCTAATGCGGTTTATTATTTTTTGCCTAGAAACTCATAGCATATGGACATATCACTGGTAATGCTCCTGACAGTGGAGCTCCTGGAAAACGCCTGATAGACCGGATAGTCGAAACAATCTGCAATTGTTTTCAGGGTCCTCAAACCGATGAAGGTGTGCAGCTACAAATAATAAAGGTATTTTGGTTTGGTTTTGTTGTTTAGCTCCAGCGCTTTGCTTACAGAAACAGCTCATTTTATATCTCTGTAAGAAAATCCCCAAATCTAATCTAGTGAGACTCAACAGTTTATTCTTTCAGGTACCGAACTGTGTGTATTCACTGGGTTGACATCTTGCTAAATATGAATACTGTCTGCATTTTGTGTCCTGTATTTCTAGACCCAGTTTATTTTTTTAGAGCCTGCCCCTTATCTCTTGGGATCTGATTTCCCATTACCTAGTGGATATTGACTGACTGTACCGTGGTTATATGATATGTCCTGCTGCAGCATCATCTCTACTATTTTAAGACTCCTCTTGAGCTAGTAACAAAGTCACTCTTAATTACCTTTACAGTAGAAAATTCACTGATTTATTTTGAAAGGCCCTTGCTAACTTTTAATCTTATAGGATACTATAATCCTATTCAGTTCAGTGAGGAGAGCCCCAACTGTAATAGATATCCAGAAAGAGATTGTGCCTTTGCTAGCTACAGGCTGCTCTTCTTCATACTGCTTCCTCAATTCCCCACTCCCCAGAAAAATGGGTGTGATGTGTATCTGTTACTAGGAAGCCAGTTTGGTGTAGAGGTTAAAAACTGCGGACTCTAATCTGGAGAACCAGGTTCAGTTCCCCACTCCTCCACTTGAAGGAGGAGCTCTCTCAGCCGCTAAAAACAAGTCTAGCTCACCACTAGCGTAATGCTAAGAGCTAGAACTTGTAGCTGCCAGACAGTCTTTTGATCTCCTGGCTATTCTACGCACAATGCCATACAATAATTACTATTTTATTAAATGAATTTATTTTCTTTAATCCTTAAATCAAATTATGCTTTTGTTTAGAAGTGCTATAGATTCCTAGTATTGTTCCTGTGTGCGCGCACATAAATATAGATATATCAGGTTTGTTTCTCAGTTGGCTTTGTTCTCTGGTGTTTTGTTTTGTTTTGTTTCTTCAGGCTCTTCTTACTGCTGTCACATCCCCATATATAGAAATTCATGAAGGAACAATTCTTCAGACCGTTAGAACTTGCTATAACATCTATCTAGCCAGTAAAAATCTCATCAATCAGACAACTGCCAAGGCTACCCTCACTCAGATGCTGAATGTCATTTTCACACGGATGGAAAACCAAGCAGTATGTAGTAACTTGTTTATCCATCTATCTTTAACATGCCATCTTAAAAACATGTGTTTTACTACTGCTTCTCTTTTGGGGCAATTGTGATAAGATAGAAAGGACGACTTGATTAGCAATGGATTTTGGCTGCTTTAGTCCAATGCATTTTGTCTGAGGACATATTGTGGGCTTATGCACTCCCTCCACTTCCCTTTTGCACACAGAGTCCTCCTTCCTCTCCTGATTTGCTGGAACTATAGTTTTCCAGGATGTCCAGAGTGGGCTAACCATGATATGCTAGCAGGAATTCTCTCCAGACTATGGCTCGCAGATCTGACAAAGGGAGCTTTGACTCTCGGAAGCTCATATCCCAAAAATCTTGTTGGTCTCTAAGGTGCTCCTAGTCTGAATCTAGCAGTTTTATATGTGGGAACCCTGAATTAATCTTGGAATATCCATTGCTATCTTGGAAATGCTGAAACTGAACCGCTGTAGAGAGATGACAAAATGGAGAGACAGACAATTCTTGAAGTCTGAATTGGGTGAAACATGATAGTGCTCACCAAGAGTTGCATCCCAGCTCAAATGGCTTGTGAAGCCCACTTCCCATCATGGTTTCAGGTCATGGGTTGGACGGTCAAAGCTTCATGCACCTCACATAGTGGGCTCTGGCTCGTGGAAGTTTGATAAAATAAATTTACAGATTACTAAGGTGTCATAAGACTTCTCGTGGCTGCATAAACCAGACTTTTTCTATTAAATACTGCTTTGCTTTATACTGTGATGTACGCTGAAAAAGCATTTCCACCTTCATTTTTTTAGATACAAGAGGCCAGAGAGCTAGAAACAACAAATCAACAAAAATCCCACTCTCCTATGACTTACAGTGTGTCAGGGTCTCCAAAGATTGGTCGACTGCAACATAATCTACAGGAGAGCAAACCTTCAACTCCTGTAAAAGCAGACCTGACTAATGGTGAGCCAGAAAGTACAGAAAATGGAGAGCGGAAGCCAAAGAATGATTTGACTCCTCCAGTATTTGGTAAATAAGCTTGTGATATTTGTGCTGACTTAAAGTAAAATGATTTGTCTGGAAGAAGAATGCTGATGACTTATATTTCCTCTCAGGAGACTTTTGCATACCTTGAAGTTTTGATAGTGTTCCTTTTAACAATCATTACAAATTTAGTTTTTCTGCTATTGCAGCTTTAACCCACTCACCAAGAACAAACAAAATTGCTTCTAATCCCTGCTTCTATACACATTGCAAGTTACAAAAGCTTTTGAAATTCCTAAAATGCAGTTATTCTGTGAGTAGGGATGGGCACAAACCTAAAAATCCCAGTTCAGTTTAGGGATTGGGATAGCCCCAAACTGAACCCCGAACTGAGCCAAAATTGCCCTGAATCGAACCAGCGGGTCAGATCCCCCCTTTTTCCTAGCCATGGCTTGCTGCGGTCGGGAGAAATGGAGGGATAGCCCAGGAAGGATTAAATGACTGCAAGCCATTTCAGTATTCCATTTCGCTTCCCCCCACTTCAAAGTGTGGGGAGCAAAACAGAGCGCTGAAATGGTTTCACCCATTTCAGCCTGACAGACATCTGCCTCTAGGTTTTAATGCTGGCAGCCATTTCAGTGCTTCATTTTGCTTCCCCCTGCTCCAAAGCAGGGGGAAGTGAAATGGACAGGTTAAATGTTTGTCAGCCATTTAAACCTTCCTGGGCGATCCCCCCTTTCCTGGGAAGGGTTAAATGACTTACCGGGGGAATGAAACGGACGGGTTTAATGGCTCACAGCTATTTAAATCTAACAGCTGATGGGCGTACCCTCCCAGCTGTTAAGCTGAAATGGCTGGCAGCTATTTCAGTGGATGGTTTTGCTTCCCCGCCACCACTTACAAGTGGGGAGAAGCGAAACCAATCAGTGAAACGTCTCACACCCATTTCAGCCTAACAGGAGGGTGGGTGCGCCTGTCAGCTGTTAGGCTGAAATGGCTGCCAGCCATTTAAACCTAACATGTGAGCTGTGGACCTGCGCCACTCAGTTGTTAGGTTTAAATGGCCCAAACAGCCAAACCGGGCAAAAGTCTGGGAAATGTTCGGGGAAGGCACCTCCCCCTAACATTGGTTCAGGGGTTCCGAACCAGGCCAAATTCATGACACATTTTGGCTCATGAACCAGTTTATCCCCATCCCTATTTGTGAGTAAGCTAGTAGATTTAATTCCTGACTACTGCTCTAAAATTAGTACACTAGTTATGTCTCCAATCCTAGTAGTTCAAAATAGTGCGATTTCTCCATGTATACATTGTAATATTTTTCTCCAAGCTCCTTTGCGTCAAATACGAAGTGAACAATATCTGGCAACGTTAAAAGTATTTGCAATGGTAATAGGTGGCTGAGGAGAAAAATGCATGAGGAGATAGAAATGTCATTACTCTAGTATAACCAACTATTATTTGATTTTCAGTACTATATTTAGAACTATGATACAAGCTGTATAGCCGTTCTGGAGATTATGTTAGTAGGGAAAATTGTTATAGATGTGTAAACACATTGCAAAAACATAGGCATTATGTCTAAGCTTTGAAAACTAGTGATTCATTCAGTAAGAAATGAAGCAAATTAGGCTGAAATTATGTATTGATATATTACGCCTGGGACTGGAACTCTACGTATCAGACACTTATCCATAGAATGAAACATAGGGGGAGCAGCTTAATCTAAACCATTTTTATCTGCAAGCATTGGATTGGACCTTATGAAACATTAATGGAAGAGAGATCTGACAGTGCTGTTCCTTTGGCGCCAGCTGTTTAATGCTTGTCTTTCTTTGCTGTACTCCTGAGCTTGTGCAATGGCTGCAATCAGATTTTGGGACAATCTGTAACTGAAGCACTCTTGCCCATTAGTGCAGCTTGTTTCCATGTGGCAACACTCATCTTCATGCTTCCCTCTCTCTCCTTCATGGAGCTCTGTTTGAAATTCACTGGAATGATCATGCTCCAGTTGGTTATGATATCCATATGGAGGTGCCTTGGCAAACGGGTATTTGTATATGAAGAATCCAGGCTTGTGTAGGAAAAAAACATCAGGTTACTGAGGCAGTTCTGTTTGGATGTCATTGCCAGTTGGAGCTTGATCATTCCAGGAAGTGTTTTCAATGAAACTTGCAGAAGAGGAGGATGGAGGGCAGAACAAGTGGACCCCCTTCCACTGGCAAGATGCCACACTCATGGATTGCTCGCCCTTTCACTTCAGCTTATCCTGACATCTTATTGCAGCCCCTTGCTCTAGTATAAAACCAGGATTTGGGAGAATGCAGTACACTTAATGTTAGGCCACTCTGTGAGGCACTTGCTGCTGTTTGCTGGTGATATAGTCATTACCGCAATGTAAGGGTTATGCAGTGCTGGGGCCCTTGTTCTTGACTTATCACTAATATTAATCCCTGGTAATCTATATTATGATATGAAGATGATTAAATTAAAAGGCCAAGAGTTGCCATTACTCTGATTCTCAAACTTCCTGCTGCCTGCCTTGATCTTTGGTTTGCTAGGATGCCCAAATGGCCACTGTGCCTTCTAATAGTAACAGTGAATCACTGGGAAGTGAAAAATCTGTAGTGGTCGGGCCATTTCTCCCTTGGGCAGCTTCCCTGGAGACGCAGTGTAGAAATGCACTAAATAAATACATAATTGACCCTCACCTATGAAGCGGTGTCTTGTGTAACTTAATTCCTGACAATATCTTTTAAACAAATTTTAAAAAATCAGAAACATTTTCAAATGACCTTTTGATATGTATTTTATCAGAAGAAGAAACTGATGGATGCAAACAAATTATTAAAGAAATCTTGGAGGATGTGGTCACTTCAGCTGTTAGAGGTAAAACTTCTTTGGGAAAGTCTCTTCCTTTCTTCATGCCTTTAAGGAAATAACCTCTTTTGTCCTAAACTATAGATCTTGAATTTGTTAAGTAAGAAAGCAGCTAGTGCCTTTCACATATAGGATTCTATATTAGACTTGTCTCTTATCTCTGTCATAAAACAGGAGAAATGTAATCTGATTCTTTAGCAGTACTGTGTTCTATCAGTGTTTTCTGACTGACCTGTCTGAGATTATTGAAAAATAAATGTTTATGGGAATGTATTTGGTAAAATGTTTGTCTTCTTAGTCTCTTTAGAAGAAGAAACAAAAAAGCAACCTGTGTCTGAACTGGGTAGAATTCCGTCCGAGCTGGAAACTGCAGCCCCTGCCTCTCCCAGTGTTGTTAGTGAAAACTCACAAGCAAATGGAATTCCAGATGACAGACAGTCAGTCTCTTCCACGGATAACCTGGTAGGATTCATAAGTGTGCAGTGAATTTAGTTCCCTTCCTGGGAAGGATTGGTAGGAGGCGGAGAGAGATGAAATGAAACTAGAATGTTTGAAAGGCTAAAAATGGCTTCAAAATGCATTACAACCAGATCCAAACATACTTCATCAGCGTCTTAAATATTTAGGACTGAGTGAGTCTTAGTGTGAAGCTTGAAAAATAGACTGTTTTTACATTTGACAAGCCTTTATTGGGATACGTATACACATACAAATACGTATACACATACGTAGACTGTTTTAAAAGGTTTGTATGCCAACAAAGGCATTTTCTTGATATTTCTTGTATCAAATGCAAACATTTATTATTTAATATACAGCACTTACAGTTCCCCTTTCTCAAGATGATTCAAGGCAGATTTATTCCCCCACACTATCTAGTACTAGATTCTGCCATTAGATATTAGCTAATTTATAGGAAGTGGTTGCCAAAACTGATTATTGCCTGAATTCAGCTAAGGGGAAAAGTGGTCTTCTACACACATTATTCTCATAACCAGAAATCATGGGCTTATATTATAGGAATAATTACAAAATCTTATTAGATCAGATTGTACAACTGCATCAGTCTTTTCCCTTTCTGAATGTCTCAGTTGCTTAGCAGATCAGATCCTGATATATCAGAATTCCAGTGAGTAGTCTGACAAGGTTTTTCTGGGCTGTGGTTGCACACATTCATGCTCTTGTGATTTGGAGATTATAGCAAAAATGTCTGAATCATTCTGTTACAGTACAGCCGTGTTTCCCATATAAAAATGCCTTCCTGAACAGTTTGGTTTTACATAGTTTGGGGAAAACCAAACGTGTGGGAGACTTCCTGATCTCCTCAGGCAGACCATGCCATAGAGCAGGCATTACAGAGAATGCACATGTATGGGCAGTTGTTGATCTTGCCCATTGGCAGGGTGGCACCAATAGGAAGCCCTGTTCAGATGAGCAAAAATGTCATGACAGGATATAGGAGGAGAGGTGGTCTTACAGATCTTAAGAGTCCAAGGCCATGAAGGGCTTTGTATGTGTAGTATTCATTTTTAATTCGTTAAATTACCCAAGTCGTTAATGGGCTGAAATTGTTAAGCAACTTGTTTGGTAGAGGGCTGATCAAAAATGTTTTTTCAGAGTGTGTGTATGTGTTAGAATGGTTGAAATTCACAGATTCTCAGTCTATAAGTTGATCTTTTGAAGCTAAAACTTGGCTGATAACACTTATTCATAGTGCTCTTCTGAAAAACTAAAGGTTAGTTCAGATGCAACACCAAAACATGGGTTAACAATGTGTGAACCAGCCCTGTGCCTGTGTGTTGTTTTCTCTCCAGTTATATGTAGTTGAAGTTGATTGTGAGTTACAACACAAAATTGTTTGGTGTTGCATCTGAATTGCCAAATGACGGGTTGCTCTCCCTCCGAACCAGGTTGCATGTCAACTTCAGCTATAACAAACTGTAGGGTGGTGGCTAGAATGCAATGTCAAGCCATGGTTTGTGTTAAAATGAAATTCACTGACTGGCTGCATGAATGGGGGAGAGAAGAGAAACACAGAAGCACACGGCTGATTCATAGAGTTCCAAATCATTGTTTCAAGTTATGTACAAGACATTCCAAAGCCTCAGTTGAATAACTTTGTAGTGCTCTTAAATACAATAAATAACTGCTTAAAGTTGTTGGGTTTTTTCCTTTCTGTTTCTTTGTCAAGGGCTGTTGTGTTTATCTCATTTAAGTAGACTGTAACCAGATTATCTTAGTTCTTGAGTTCTCTGACAATGCAAACAGTGTTGTTCTTTTGGCTACAAGTACCACTTTCTCTCCATTCCTAACCTGACATGAGCATTGTGGCTGAGAAACATTCCTGTTCAGCTTAATCTCAGCGCCGTAGGCCATATCCTGCTTCTAAACATCTACGCATTCTATAGCTGCTGTTCTAACTAACAGTTTTCTGACTTTGTATTTTAGGAAGCAGATGTCCCTGGTCCACAGGCAGCTGCCAAGTTCTCACATATCCTTCAGAAGGATGCCTTCCTTGTGTTCCGGTCACTGTGCAAGCTTTCAATGAAACCTCTTGGTGACGGGCCACCAGATCCCAAGTAAAAAAAAGATAAATCTTCCTGAGTTTTACCCCATCCAGAATGCTTGTTATCAAAATGAAAGAACAAAATCAAAGCCTTGTTGGCAGCTTGGTTTTAATTATCCATGCACTGTAGCTAGTTTGGAAAATCCAAATAGTGGGCAGTGTGCAGAAAGCACATGAAAGTTTTCCATGTTCCTCTCCTTCACTGACTGCTAGAACGATAACTTCGGGGGTCACTGGATCTGCACAGAGAAACAGCTGTGAGGGTCTGTAAGATGGAGTGAGGAAGGGCAAGGGGATGAAATTGCCCTCTCCCCTCATTGGAGCTGGGTGCACAGAATGGGGAAGAGGAGCAATTTCAGCTCCTTGTCTCTCCTCACTCCAGCACCACCCCCAACCAATGTGGCTGTTCTCCATGTAGATTCCACAACCTTGGGGCTGTTCCCTCTTGGGGTCAGAAACGACCGCAGCAATGGAGAGGAACACAGAAGCGCTAACCCTTCTGCCTGTAGAGTAGTAGGATTCTGTCTGTTGCCATATAAAAAAATGATAGTGTATGGGGAAATCAGTTTATAATGAATATGCCTTGTGGCTGCACTGATATGTCATTGATGCTGTTAATATTGCCCGTTAATTCTTGTGGCTGCACTGATATGTCATTGATGCACTGATATGTCATTGATGTCATTGATATTGCCCGTTAATGAATCTAGTAAGTTATGGTTTTCCAAATGATGGCTGGTTCCAGGTTGTGAGACACATTCTGAGAAATTCTGATGGGGGCAATTGCTTGGCTTGGCTTCATAGACTCAAAAAGATTTGTGTGTTATTCCTGCTTCCTGCAGAAAAGAAAGATCTGAGTATGTGTATGGGTTAGTTGCTGTATGTGGAAGAGAGAAATATGTATAGCACCTTAGAGATATTTATTTATTTACTTAAAAATGTATATACCACCTTTCTACGCATCTATCTGTCGGAAGAAGGCAGAGGAGCCTGAGATACTCTTGAATGGTTGCTTAGTTTTTGCACTGGAAAATGGATGAAGGATTGGTGTAGTGGTTAACTGTGTGGACTCTAATCTGGGAGAACTGGGTTTGATTCCCCACTCCTCCACCTGTAGCTGCTGGATGACCTTGGGCAAGCCATAGTTCTGTCAGAGCTGTTCTCTCAAGGACAATTCTGGAAAGAGCTCTCTCGGCACCGCCTACCTCACAGGGTGTCTGTTGTGGGGAGGGGAAGGGGAAGAAGTCTGTAAATCGCTCTGAGACTCCCAAGTGAAGGGCAGGGTATAAATCCAATCTCTTCTTCTTCTCCTCCTCATGGGACATATAAGTAAAGGGTGTATAGGTTTTGAGTTCAGTGGGACTCTGCAAAGGTCGGTGTTTGGAAAGGTCTGTTTTGAAGGAATGGGTGTAGCCAAAACTACTATATATACTGAAATGGCTTAGAAAATATCCATTATTGAACACTGAGGCACAGTCCAGAACACACTGTCAGACTGAATCAACCTGTCACAGAGCTCCACAGAGTTTGACTCAATTCTCCTGTTTTCAGGTCTCATGAACTGCGCTCTAAGATAGTGTCCCTCCAGCTGCTTCTCTCAGTTCTGCAAAATGCTGGCCCGGTCTTCCGGACACATGAAATGTTTATAAATGCAATCAAGCAATATCTCTGCGTAGCATTATCCAAAAATGGGGTGTCTTCTGTTCCTGATGTCTTTGAGCTGTCTCTTGCCATCTTCCTCACCCTTCTTTCTAACTTTAAGACCCATTTAAAAATGCAGATTGAGGTAAGAGAGCCTTATTGTTTTTGTGTGCTTGATAGTCCTTCTGTTGTATGAAAAAATACAAGGAAATTGCATTGCTTTATATATTTGTTTCAATTTGGTATATTACATGGATGAAAATAAGTGGTAAATAAGCCCTGACCTGGATAGCCCAGGCAAGGCCAGTCTCATCAGATCTTGGAAGCTAAACAGGGCCGACCCTGGCAAGTACTTGGATGGGAAACCTCCAAGGAATACCAGGGCTTGGGATGTAGAGACAGGCTATCAAGCCACCTCTCTGAAATGTCCAAACCCCAGTAGGGGTTGCCAGAAGTCAATATGTCTTCCACGCATGCAAGCACACACGCGCGCACACACACAAAACAGCTTTTCCCCTCACTTGTCCAGTTTCTCTCGTTATTCCCATCACACATAGCTTTTATCTACACAGGTCCTATGATTCTCAGCATAGCCTTTTCCACCAGAGGAAAATGTGGTTGGATCCAACCCAATATAAATATCCATTTCTCTGTGTATAGTTGAGGGAGAAGACCACTAGTGTAGAATTCTTGAAACAGATTATGGATTATTATGATACAGACAATACATCCCTAAGCTATGAGGGTGATTGGGCAGCGGGAAACAGGAGGGAAGAAGACGTTAGTTGAAGATTCCAGAAAAATCTACAGAGGGTAGAACACAAAGAAATGAAATTTGCTAAGGAAAGGCTTTTCATCAATATAATTTCCCCTTTTTGGGATAGGATTTCTAGCCCCGTGGCCTTCCTAGGTCCTCAGGCAATAACTTCTTTTGTATTTGGGCTCCTTAACCCAGGGCCTCGTGCCTAATGGAGAATTTCTGTATATGGGGACGAGGCATTACTACTTCTCTTCCTGGCCAAAGCTCCCAGGGCAAATTCAGGAACTCAGGAATGGCCCTGACCCATTCTGGAGGGGAAAAAGAAGGGGGAAGGACCTGGAGAAACACTCTTCCCTAAGAGCTCAGTGTGCATTTCCTGGAGTTGTTTGGCCAGGTGGTTGCTGTGGGTAGAAAGTGTACCCTCCCACAAGGCAGTGTGGGTTTGTTGATTGGCTCAGGAGTCTGGACCAAGGTAATATGGGCAAACTAGGGACCAATTCAAGGTGGTCTCATTAAGGACTTTACTCCATTAGCTCCAGGGAGGAAAAACAATTTGTAACTAAAGTTTAGGGCATCTTTTAGTTATTTTAAAATTGCAAAATATTAGCAACTGCACTTCGTTTATTTTGTCTTTTTCTGTTAAACATAATCTTTTAATTTTTTAAAAACTGCCTGGGTTTTTATTTCACAAGCTCAGTTGCACATCTAGGCTGCACTCTGCTTGTGAAAGGAGGTGCTGCCCAGGAGATTAGGTGGTGGGGATTGGCTGAACCCTCCCCAAAATCCTAAATCCTGGTTGATGGCAGCAAGACCATGATTTGCTCTAAGGGTTAGCGGTGACAAGTGGAAGAGAAAGGGCTGAACATGTGCAAGATTTGTCTGCTGTCTGGGAAAGGGTGCCTCAGTTGGATCCCCTCTCCAACCTGAGTCTTCTCATTCCACTGACAATCATGCTGAGAGCTTTATAACATTAATGAGGGTAGGCTAAAGACTGAGGGACGGTGAGTGGTGAGGCCACCTGATGTGCTTAGTGGCTGGCTGAGAAAGGGTTAGAACGGAGCCTTTTGCATCTAAATGTACCACTCTGCTCATAGTTTTAGATTGATATAGTCAGTCAAAGGACAAAGACTGGAGATTCTTGGGATATAGAGGAAGGTTAAGTGAAAATAAGGGGTCTTGATAGGGTTGCCAGCCTCCCAGTGGAGCCTGGAGATCTTTTTAACAACTGATCTCCAGACTACCAAGATCAGTTCCCCTAGAGAAAATGGCTCCTTTGGAGGATGGACTTTATGACATTGTCCCATGCTGAGGTCCCTCCCCTTCCCAAACCCCGCCCTTCTCAGGCTCCACCCCCAAATCTCCAGGTATTTCCCCACCCAGAGCTGGCAACCCTAGGTCTTGAAGATATGGTTGTATATCAGGCATTCCTTGCCTTCTGGACATTAAGTGCTGAGTATCTTTTTTTTTAGTGGGGGAATTACAGATTTTAAAAAACAAACAAGCAAAGTTCAGCTGTTATAGTACAGCCACTATGTTTTGTTATCCCTTCATTTGTCCCTATCCTATACATTTCCCAGATTGGAAAATAACCTACTAGTTGTGAAGTTTTGTTGGCTTTGTGCGGTGTTCCCAGGCAAATGAATTCTCATCATGTAAACCTTTGTTTCAGATGCCCAATGTGTAGTGGACATATACGTTAACTATGACTGTGATTTGAATGCTGCTAATATTTTTGAACGGCTAGTAAATGACTTGTCTAAAATTGCACAGGGACGGAGTGGACATGAATTAGGAATGACACTTCTACAGGTAAGACTTTTGCAGAGATAACCTGTGCAATGCAATGCAGTCTGAGCCCACTGAAATTAATGGGCTTCTAGACTGAAGTGACTGTTTAGGATTGCACTGCTAGTGATGTTAGCATTTCGCACTATCGATTCCTTGAATTAGTATCTTCTAGTTCTTCCATTAGCTTCTATAGCTTGTTCGTAAGGACAGTTTGGTTCATACTTGGGATAGCACCAATGGGACTTTGTTTCAGATTGAATGAAATTAATGCAGATTACGGTGATGACTCATATGTGGGCCAGGGGATGTGGGGGGAGGCCTCACACTTGCATAGTCAGCCTTCAATCCCTAAACACTGGTTAACTGTACATTTGCACCAAAACCAAAGACTATTGCTGAGTTGCTGAACAGTAATCCCTATATCCATGTCAAATTATGATTCTACATTTTGACTTTAACTCAGACATCTTGCCAAACAACAAGGCTAGTTAGACTTATGTGCTAGAAGAACGTGGTTTGTGATTGGCAAATTAGAAATCACAGTTTGAATTTGGCATGTTGTCATATTTGGTTTACAGTCATGTTTATATTAACTGTAATTTGTGGTGATGAACCAAAGTAAAAGCTGTAGCTCTGCTTCTGAAGGCTACTGAATCTAGAGACTAGAATCTTAACCATACAGAAAGGAAAATCAAGGAAGGAAATCGAAACTGAGCCTTTTCCCCTCTGTGTTTGGAAGTTCACACTATGTTTTTTGTTCTCAATCATATCTGGCTGGATGTCTGAATTCCTTTAGTTCTTAAGTCCTTGACCTGTTGATAGTATAGTTGCTCCTTCTTTGTTTTGTTTTTTATTTCTGTGCAGGAACTAAGCCTAAGGAAGAAAGGTCTTGAATGTTTAGTCTCTGTTTTAAAGTGCATGGTAGAATGGAGCAAAGACCTGTATGTGAATCCAAACCATCAGGCCAGCCTTGGTGAGACATTGATGTGGTTTCTACATACAAAAGTGTACTTAAAATAAGGGTGCACCTGAGTTTCCAGCTATCTTCCCTTACATTCCAAAGGCTTGATTTTAGCCAATTTGTCTTCTATTATCCCAGTGCAGGAATTTCTGAGACAAGCTTTGCGACGTGACTTTAAAAAAAAAAAAAACTAAAAAAACAGGGAGCAAGGATGTACATCAGGAACTGACTGAGGCCTATATAGATGGCAGCTTCCTGGTTGGATGCTGCTGCATAAGACCTATCCTGTTGAAGAAAAGGTACCTCTTGCCCTGAGGCACCCCATATTCAGTGTACAGAGCCAGTTGGCCCTGTGTCATGGACCTGTAAGAAACTTGTGGAGAAACATGGGCTTGGATTCTCACTAGAATTTCTGCAGATGAAGGGCTGGGGGGCAATTTTCACCAATTCTGCTCTCAGTGGGAAAACTCTGATACTGCCACAAGCTGTTCCTGGGGGATCCCTCATCACTCAGGAGCAGCACTTCAGGGGGTGTTTTGGACTGTTGATGGGGGGGGGGGGCTGGTCCACAAAACTTGCCTCTCCTTGCATCTGTAGAGATTCTAGGTGGGATGCAAACCTTTAGGAATTAGTATACTAGTGGACTGTATTACTTTTTGGTCTCTTCTAAATCTAATTCTGTTATATAAAATCATCAGTCAGTATCTGGTTTTTTTTCTTTATTAACAATAAACTCCATTGACCTGAGGTACAATATATTTAAAACAAGGATCACATCAGAAATGTTACAGATAATAAATAAAAAAGGATTATATCACCAATAAAGGATTATATCACCAATAAAGTAACATTAAAAGATATAAAACCCTCAAAGTTGTCACATTAATGCATAGCAGAGGAGTGTCTTAGAGGTATCATAAGAGACAAAAATTTGGCCACAGCTCATGTCACCTCAGGTTTAACATCTGCCAAAAGAAAAGAGACTGCCTGGTGTTCTATGGCAAGATTATATTTGCTCAGAATGGGCAAGATCTAAAGTTCTCATAATGAGGACCATTGATTGCAGGATAAAAGAGCATGATCAATGGTTTCGATCATGCCAGAGGCACAAGGACAAAGGAAATCAGAGAATGAGATTTTTACAAATCACTCCCTCAATTCAGCCTGCTGAGCATAAAGGTGCGGCGATTGCAGAGAGTGGAGTATCTGTTTTCTGCCAACTTCTTTGTTAATCACTTATTTTAAAGAAGAATACCTCCTTAACTTCACTTTCACACGTAGGTCCCGATAAGTCTTCTGATCAGGAAATGGGCGAAAGCAAATGTTTGGAAATGGGAGGAAGAAGGAGTAGTGCAAGCTCCTTAGATTCAACAGTCTCCTCAGGAATTGGCAGCGTTGGCACCCAGACCACACTCCACGATGACCCTGAGCAATGTGAAGTTATCAAGCAACAAAAAGAGATAATTGAACATGGGATTGAATTGTGAGTTGGAGTTATCATTTAAATACCGTGAAATGTGTATTTCTTATGGTTCTGTTTTTACAGTTTGCTGGGTTTGCTTTATTTTTTACTGCATGAATGAAATGAAAAGAAAGGTAATGGCAAGGGAAGTAAAAAGAGAGTTGAACCCCATATTGGTGTTTTATGGAGAAATTAAGAGTGGAATCCCAAACACACCTTCTGGGGAGTAACGCTCATTCAATTAGGTGGGACTTACTTCTTGAAGTAAGGTTACTTCTTGAAGTAAGGTTTAGGATTTTGTTGCTGCTGTTGTATAAAGCTGGTGTGTGTGAAGTGCAGTTGAGTCGCAGCCAATGTATGGCAACCTTGTAGGCTTTTGAAGTCGAGAGACTAAGAGGTGGTTTGCCATTGCCTGCCTGTGTGTAGCAACCCTGGACTTACTTGGTGGTCTCCCATCCAAATACTAACCAGGGCCAATCCTACTTAGCTTTTGAGATGTGATGAGATCAGGCTAGCCTGGGCCATCCAGGTTGTATAAAGTTTTCTTCCGTAAATTCTTCAACCGGCATGTTTGAGAGATTCACCTCTCTTTTGCATTTCTTATGTATAGTATTATATAATGCAGCTTAAAAAGAGACTGGCAAATTAATAGTAAAATTCTTAGAGACCACAGATTGAAGATTGTGGTGAAAATTAATGACAAATGGATGCCTTTGCTTGTTGCTTAGTTGGCCTCTAGAGTTAGTTCTACCATACTGAATGAAAAATTCGTAGCATTTTTTGAAAAATATTGCATGTGGCAGTAATTACAACTTGTTGAATTGTCTTTGTACAGCTTTCCTCTAATTCTTGTTCTTCTTCCTTGAGATGCTGTGCATATAAATATAACATTCCTTTTTTAGAAATAATATTGAAACATACTGTCGTAGGGATGCCAGCCTCCCGGAGGGACCTGGGGATCCCCCAGAATTACAGCTCATCCCCAGACTACAAAGAG